ACAGAGCACCTTGTATTTCTAAAAGCTACTATCAAACTTTTGAGACAGGAAGATATCAAGAAGTGGTGGATCATCTTTCAGGGATATTTAATTTTCAGTAGAGAATATCGTCTTTCCTAAGTGCTGGAAAATAGCACTCTTTTATCAGGGCTTTTAATAGAAGCTGTAGAATCCGTTAACATTCATGTAAAAACTTGAAACTAAGAACATCCTCGCACTCAAAGGAACAGAAACACCAGTGCCATACTAATGAAGTGCCCAACTGCATATAAGAAAATAATTTAGTAAGAATTGCTTCAAAAGAAAGTTCAGCTCTTAAGTTTTTGTAAAGTATGCAGTGTTTTATAATCAATACTCTTCCAGCACTAGTAATAACTTCACTTACAGTATTACAAGGTCACTAAAAATGTCATATTGATCTAAACTCTTATGTACACTTATGTACATGACACAATACATAAAATAAGAAATCAAGCTTTACTAACTCTGTTTTGTTTTCAAAGTGACCTTATAAATATTACAAAAGATATTGTTTTCCTTGTCTAAATTATATCTGACAGAAAATTAGTTGAAAAAATAGAGTAATTACAGGATGAGACAGTAATCCATCTAACTTCATTATATGAAGTTAGAAAACTTCTTAATCCACTGAAGTTGCCCTTATTGTTTTGAAAAAACCTGAAAGTTTGCATTGCTTCCTTAATTTTTGCCACAATTACTGAAACCGTGGGCAGCAATTCCAGCCTTTCAGGTCGGAACTGCTCTTCACCCCAAGAGCAGCCTTTCCAAGACTATGACAGCGTGCTACCTCATTCCACCAAAAGACCTGATCTCTCCCCCAGCTTTTAAGCTGCTTGGCCCAGATGAGCACTGATGTGCTAGCACACCTGCTGCCCAAACCACCAGCCATCACAGCAACAGTTCAGCAGAAGGTGCCTCTAGAGTGAAGTTTAATTAGGAAAGTGTGTGAAAAGAGCTGCACTTCATCATGAAATGTACACGCTGAAATGCTGAGGTCCAAATGCCACAAATGGGCAAACAAAGCCGAATGCTAAAACATGTGTGCAGGCACAGCTGGATCAATAGTGTTGATGTGGTTGTAGTTGTGCAGTCCCTGGCTATTATTTTATCCAAGATGAACCATCTCTCAAATTGTATTCATTTCTCAAACTGTTATAGATAAAAACCCAGAGATACTATCTCTAGTCATAAAATACATCGATAATTCTTTTGATAGAAAGTCGTAATTAGTTGCTGCTTTTTAATGAATAACTAAGTCACCACTTCTATACATTTAGTCACCTTCATGAGGTAACAACACAAAAGATTTTTAATATGATTCAGGTCTTCTCAACAGTACTGGTAAGAATACCCCAGACTTCTTAGCACTTGATGACCTCTAGGTGATGGAGAAAACAAAGAATGCACACTACATACAACCCCAGTGGACAGCCAGCCACTTTAAAAATGCCTATTTTTCTTTCATGCTGGGAAAACTCTCTCTTGCCAAAGGAAGGCTTTCCTAGATGTAGATAGGAAGGTCACCTGTCATGACTGATCTTGTTGCATGTATCTTTGCAGAGGAGGTCACACAAACCTTGAGCATGTTTTGCAGTAACAAAGACCCAAGTGCCCCAGCTAACACTCCAGTTCCCTCACAGGTCTTCAGAGATGTTCCTGAAACTCCTACTATTTACACACAACAGGAACTAGTCCTCCACAAATGGCATGAGGCAGATTCACAATATTTCCTTTAGCTTTACGAAACTTTACTATAGTCAGAAAAGTACTATCCATGTTTAAGATGGTCGGCTACATATGATCAAATTTGTATTTTTCAGCACTGACAGCTCCTCTGTGCAACTGTGCTTATAACTGCTAATTTTTAGTGCTCCTCGACTGCTGCCTTCTCTGCAGCTAAAGAAGTTTTGATTTTAAATTGAATGCATTTACATAAACATATTTTGTCCTCATTTTCATATAGCAAAACACTTCAACAATGGTTAGTTACACTGTACTCAAACTGGTCTAAGTTGAGAACTAAAAGCTACCCTTCTCTGAAAGCTGAATGTATGTCCCTGCTGGAGTACAAATATAGCTCCTCATTTGCATCCTCTGATTACTCCAGCTATCCAAGCACATAACTATACAAAAAGCTACCAGCACCCAAATATTTCCTCAATTAATTAGTTTATCAACCATGACTGACATTGTGAGATGCTACTGGCTATACCACCCACGTAATCTCACTTGCACAACCCTGTACTGTGATGCTCACCAACAAATGCTACACAGTTTTGTATCAAAATTCTCATAGTAGAGATGACAAAGGTGAAAGAAAACACTTATAAAATAAAAGCTATACTGCACAAGCCACTTTTGGAATTGTGTTCTCACTGACAGCAGTTCACTCTCATTCAACTGAGTGAAGCAAATAAATTAAGATGTGTATGTACCTCACAAGGGCAGAAGAAAGCTGACTAGCTTTTAAAGATTTACTTCAAGTACCGGGAAGGGAAAAAACCCCAGAAAACTACATGCAATTAATGGAGCCCAGAAATTAACACAATAATTAAACAACAAATGGACATAATGATAAAGAATAAATCCTCCTCTCTTCCTGTCCTTCGTAAAATCATAAAAAGACTAGGGTTGTAACCTGAGGATGGTGAACTGTCACTTGCCAGGAAAAACAGCCCTGGTGCAGAGATGTCCTGAGGCGGAGCAGGGGATCAAAGTGAGCAAGGCCAGTTTCTAGAGCTGAGTTAACTGCATTTGACTGAGGCAACAGAGATGGAGTAGCAGTAGCAACTGATTTAAACACAACTCTCTATTCCTCCCAGGTCACATTTCCTTGCTTTCACTCTCTGTAAGCTGTGTTTTGAGTTTGGCCAGGAGTGCCTTGCTCATATGTGCAGGTTGCCTGCATCCCTGTCTGATTTCCCTTGCAAGGAGACAAGCCTGGAACGTCATCCAGCTCTCCTGGGGCCCCCTTCCCTCCAGGGCTCTATCCCCAGTACTCTACCAAGAAGAGGCTGAAGTCTGCTCTCCTGAACTCCAGGGTAGTGAGCTTGCTGTACAACCTCCTTGCTGCCCTAAGTAAGGATCTCAAACTCCATTTCACAGGCACTGTAGCCCGGAATGTCCCTGAGCTTCACATTCCCCACCAGCCCCTCCCTGTCAGAACAAAATCTACCATAGTACCTCTCCTCCTTGGCTCATCTATCCAACCTGCAGAGGAAGTTATCACCAAAGAATTCCAGGAAGCTCCTAACGCAAGAGGTTTATGTCTCTCTGCAATGCCCTTTCAACAGACACTTGTGTGTTTGAAGTCCCCCACGAGAATCAGGGTTTATGACAGCAAGGCCACTCCTGCCCTTCTGTAAAGGGCCACAGCTGCTTGGTCTTCCTGGTCAGACCATCTGTAGCACACCCTCACTATAAAGACACCTGTCCCTTTTGTGCCTTGAACCCTGACACATTACCTCTCAGTCTCATCCATGCCCAGGTGAGGCTCCGTGATCTCCAGCTGGTCACTGACACCAGGGCAACGCCTCCTCCTCATCTCCCCTGCCTGACCTTCCTAAGGAGCCCATAGCTTACCATTTGAGTCACAGGAGTCAACCTACATTTCCATGATGCCAGTGACTGTAGTTCTGCAGGCCTGCACATATCTCTAATTCCTCCTCTTTATTTCCCTGGCTGTGTGTGCATTAGCATAGAGGCATTTGAGCTAGGCCCCAGATCCCTATGAAGCTTTCTGGCTGGAGTATCTGGAAGCAATCTGATGTTGTAATTCAAGTGCTCTCCTGCTGACCCTCTCAGGCTCTAGGCACCTCTTGCTGACTGGAAGAGCATGTCAGCCCACACGCTCTCACCATTAAATCTGATTATATCCCCTTCCCTCAAGTGGATATCAAGTTTAATGCCCTATCAATAAGCTCCACAAGCCTTGAAAAAGGACCTCCTTGCCCTTTTACAAAGGTGAATCCCATCGGAATTCATCACGTCCAGGACCATGGAGGCCAACTCATTACACAAAAAGATTGAAAATTGTGGCAGTGCGCCACCAGCCCCAGAGTCAGGTATTAAGACTGGATCCATCTGTTTTTTTCAATGTCACTACCTGCACCTAACAAAAGTTGAGGAAAAACAACCTCTGCCCCTGATTACCTCTCCAATCACCCCAGGACCTTGAAGTCTCTTTTGACAGCCTCTGGCTGACGCATTGTGGCTTTATCACCATGCACACGGAGGACCAACATGAGTTATGAGTCCGATGGCTGAACCAGGCTAGGAAGTTTCCTGGTGATGGCCATAACTCACATCCCAAGGAGGCAGACTTTCCTGTTGGAAAAGGACCTTTGTCCTAATTATCCACTGATTTTCCTATCACATCCAGAACCTCACACCTACTACACAAGGCAGCCGGGAGGGTGAAGTGGACAAGAAGGGCTTTTGTCTGTTGTGCCAAGCAAGGACTTGCCTCCTTTCACTCCTTCCTTCTGATCTACTGCCTTCAGCCTGGCAGGGGGAGGTTATGCAACACTCTTGATATGGATTTCTTTCTGGTTTCTGCTCCTGTCTCAGCAAGGCCAGAGCACAGTTCAACTAGTGCATCTCCACCTTGGAGTCCCTGATACTACTTAATCTTTCTAACTCATCTCTTGGAAAATGCACTAGGGCATTCACTTAGCTACACTGCACAGCACCTGCTAAACAGACAGCAAATTAATTTTTACTGAACGCATTTAATGACACTCATTTATTATTTCAGCCTAAGTACTGAGTGGTTAATGCAAAACTAAAGTGAAAAGATTCTACACTTAATTCTAAGGTAACAGAACTGGTACAGAACTCCACTGTTTTACCTCCGTGTTGGTAACCAGGATCCTAACCTAAATTACAAGCAGCTCAAGAGCTTTGCAGAAACCTTTCACTGATATTGCTTACTCATTAAAGCAGTGGAAAATATGGTAAAAGACCAGCTTATGAGACTGTTTTCCCTTCAACTTTGTTTATTGATGTACTGAACATGAAAAAGTACAAAGAATCCAAACACAAAAGAAAACATGTACAACCTCTTAAATACCCAACAGAATATATTCTCTATTCCAACAAATGTGAATTAAGTCATACTATACAACTTCAAATAAATACCAGCCTTATATTTTACTAAGTGCTCTGATAAACACTGTAAAGTGAAGCCCAATTTACATGCCTTCTCATCAATGCCGTTAGTTGCTACAGTAGCATAGGAAAGAAGCATGTAGCTACTATTTCTCCCACATCAGAAAGTTTGTGATTTCTATACTATATACAACTTTTAATGCAGAGGATTAGCTTTAACAATCTAAATGCACCTAAGAATGAAGAAGTACTCAGGAAGCCAATTGATTTTTGAATAGCATTGAGTGGGTCAGCATGAAAACTTGCTTAATCACTTTAGCACGCGCTTCACAGTATATGTACTGTACTATACTGAAAATTTTATAACTACAATTTAAAAGAATAAGAATCAAAAACAACTGCAAAGATAGTGTACAACTATGTTATGCATAGAACATTGCTTTTTCTAAGGGGAAGCATATGAGCATCTCAGTTTATACAAAAAGCAGGACGTAACTACATAGTTGTCAGTGCATCCTGGTGAAGGCATCAAACCCTCAGCTTTTTTTTTAAAAATTTAATTATAAGCTAGATGCTAATCAGAAAATATTCTGTACTTGTTTTCGTTAAATTTCTTCAATACATGGTAAAGGCTTTTTCTATTTCCCCAAATAGTGATTTAAGCATCATACAAAGTTAAACTTCAATAGCATACAGGTATTTATGGTTTTCATATGAAAAATGTAAGGAAATTTGCTCAAAACATATGTTTATACTTGTTTTTGTTACTACAAACATATTTATAAACAAAAATGTTGCATCACCATAAACAGCTGAAGCTAGACTATCTACAGACAAAAATAGCAACAGATCTGATGCACTGTAAATTCCAGTCCTCAGGACAAAAAAAAAAAAAAAAAAAAAAAAGAAAAGAAGCAGACCTCAAGTAACATGTTAATGCCATTTACAAAGAAAAAACTTATACAAAAACATTCAAAATTGAACATCACTTGGCATGTAACTTTTAAAAAAAACTATAATCAAAATTAGCTGAAAGGTTCATAACTTAAGTTCTTATTTACATTACACAAAGCTCAGGTGTTAGCCTTGAACATAACTTTCAAAATACCTCCTAATGCACCCAACTCAGGCCACTTTGGCTGATTTGCTACTGCACAAATCATGCTTGATGTCTTTTCTTAAGACAAAACAATTCTTCAAACAATAGCAAGTACATCACTAAACACCTTGAGCTCTATCTGAAGGGAATTCTTTAGGAAGAACAGATTTTTTTTCCCCCATATCTCAGTGTTTTAAGTTTTCTGCTTGCTCTTATATTCTTTTTTAAAATTTTCATTTGCGTCAAAATCACAAATTAAAGTGAGCCACCTATCACTTAATAACCAGGATGATCAATGACTCCACTGATGATTACAAAAAATGAAACCAACAGTGCATCCCATTGACTTTACTTCTTAATACAAAGGTCTCAAAAGTAGTTCTACATCATAAATCTTTCTAAATTTTTTCCCAACAATTGCAAATTTCCTGGTAAGTTTAAAAGCTCACTAGTTGTCATACGAAGAGATTTCTCAAAGTATTCAAGTCAAAATATTTGTTCCAGGCCCAGTAAAAAGTTTCTCCAAATTTTTTATTTTTTTTATAAAAATAGATGCTTTTTTAAACCCACATCAAAGAGGCTCTTATCTCTTTGGCAAGGTACTGCTTTACGAAAAGTTCTCCAGTATTCTTACAATAAGCTTTTATAATGTGTTCCCACTCCCCAACCCAAATGAAGATGATGAAATAAATACTGCTTATAACAATATAAATAAAATGTAAACTTCAGATACTTTTCCTGAACAATAAAGCAATATTGCATTACGATGTAAATAAAAAACAAAGTAAATCAAGAAATGACAAAAAAAAAAGTATTACACAAAGCCTCGATATTTACTCATAGATTAAAGGCAGTCATGTATAAAGAAAAAAAACTTCTTCCATTAGCTGAAACATTTTAAAAGGTCCACCTTCTTCAAAGAAGGCAATAGAATACGCATTGTGACAGGTAAAAACCCTGTACCTCTTGTCAATACTCAAACACAAAAGATAGTTAAGAAGTTCTAATTCAGATAGTAGCAATAAAAAAATCTCACATATTCTTAGGATGCTAAGTAGTCATTTTATCCCCATTTCCACACTGGCATACAACAAAGGCATTTACTAATGCATAAAGCTTCCTGTAAATCGCCTTTGTTGTATAGTTTTCATGTATTAATGCACTGAGAATAACTGGTTAGGCTTTGTGCGTTTTGTTTGTTTTGAAGGAGACCTGCAGTACTCTGTCACCAAGGCGGTATCCGTTCAGGCTAGCTATTGCCATAGCTGCCTCATCGTAGTTTGTCATAGTCACAAATCCAAAACCTTTGCACTTGTTGGTGTTAAAGTCACGGATGACCTTCACATTGGTCACTGCTCCAAAAGGTCCAAACATTTGCCAGAGGATACTCTCATCAGCATCAGGGGCCAAGTTGTACACAAAAATGCACCACCCAGTTCCTGCATGTCCAGGGATATTAATTCCGGCCAAACTGGTCATTCCATCAATGGTCATTGGAGGAAACCTACTAAAGAATGGGGGAAAGCAAAACAGAATCATCATACAGCTGTTCACACAAAACCCCAGCAAAGAAATGTCAAAATAAAAGACGAGAATGATACAGAGCTTTTCACAGAATGAACATGTTGCTCAGACTAGAAAGATAAGATCAAAAATATTTTTTGCCCCCTAACTGCGCAAATACTATGTAAAAAAATTATACATAAGTAGGGAGAACAGTGCTAGGTATGTCTGAAATGATGTAACAGAAAATCAAAAGGGAAGCATGCTATAAAACCAGTGAGGATTAGCAAGTCATTTGAAACAGGAATTCTATGGAACTGCTAGAGAAGGCTTGTCTATTTCATGCAAAATGCATCAAAATGAACAATCTCAGCTGAAGTCTCAACATGCAAAAATCCAACATAAGTCTTACTGAAAAGTAAGAGTTTGCAAAATACTTCAAAATAATTTGGTTGTTATGAACCAACTCATCCTTTATTACCTCTTTACTCCATAAGCTATGTTGAGCAGATTGTCCAACCTGCAAAACATTTAGCAACATGTTCAGTCTTCAGACTTTTCACCCTTTAAGATTAAGGAAACTTAGCATATTACTGTCACATCCATTACACTGTACCAAACCTCATGCAATGTTAAAGTACCACCACTGAAAGAGCCATGGCACCTTATTACATCTGATAGTGAAGACAAAACAGATATTCTTCGTGGATATGCTTATTGGGAAATAGGTAGCAGCATCCACCATCTAAACCCGATGCTGCTACAATTCTTGTGTAGTAACAACAATCATAAGAAGTTCACCATGAAGTCCACCATGGCCACGAATTTAGCCTAAACCACATACTGCTACCACAATGCTCCAGTCAGTGACCACATCAGTCAAGTTTTCCACATTACTAACCTGGTTGAGAAGAAAACTTTTACTAAGGTTTCTGACATGTTTGCTGACACGACTATCAAGACAGATGCAGTATTTTGGACCACTAGCAACTATTGTAACGTAAACTCAAAAAAAAAAGATTTTTCATGTTCCTACTCCTGGCAATTCCAGAATATTGGGAGGCAGAAGGCTGATTTGGCTGAGCAGGGCTAAGGCAGAAAAAGTAAGTGCAAGGACAGTGGAGGCAAAATCAGGTGGGTATAGAAAGAATACAGAGCTATTGCTTGCCACTGGAGGGAAAAAAATTGTGTGGCCAAAGCTCAACAGGAGTTGAAGCTTGCCAGCAATGTGGGGGACAACAAGTTTTTAAAAATGTCAATCTCAAAGAGCAGTCCAAAAATAACATGAGCCTGTCACAGAATGAAAATGGTCACCCCACAAACAGGGACACAAACAAGGCAGAGAAGTTTAATTCTTTCTTTGCCTTCATCTTTAATGTTGATGATGGGCTAAGAGGGTCCCAGTGTCTTGGGCTGTGAGAATGGTGAACAACCCTGAGCTTGTGTGGGATCTCCTGTTCCAACTGAGTGCCTACAGATTTATGGGACTGGATGAGATTCATCCAAGAACACTCAAAGAACTGGCCAATGTCTTTCAAGGATTTTTTTCATGATCTTGGGAATATGGTGTTGACTGGAAGCTGGCTAACACTACCTCCATTTTCAGTACGGGAAAAAAGGATGACCCTGGAAACTACAGGCCCATCAAGTCTCACTTCAATGCCTGGTAAAATTATGCAGATTATTATGGGAAGTACTGAAAAACACAATCACAGCCAGCGTGGCTTCAAGAGGGCAAAGTCCTGCTTGTCAAACTTAAATTTCCTTTTATGACAGGATAATTCACCCAGCTGACCAAGGGAAGTCAGCTGATGCAATCTTTTTGGATTTCAGTAAAGCCTTTGATACTGCCTCTCCCAGGATCCTTCTGGCCAAAATATGCAGCACACAGCTGGATAAATGTATCATGGGATGGGTGAGCAACTGGCTCAGGGCTCAGGCACAAAGGTTTACAGTGAATGGGGCGACACCTGACTGGTAACTGACACTACTGGAATTCCACAGGGATTCATTTTAGGCTCAGTGCTCTTTAGCATTTTCATAAATGACTCAGATGCAGGACTTAAAGAACATATACTAAGTAAATTTGCCAATTACACTAAGTTGGGAGGACCTGTTGACTCCCTGTAAGGCAGAGGGACTCTGCAGAGACACCTTGACAGATGAGAGGGTTGGGGAATCACCAACTAACTACATGACATTAAAAAGACCAAGTGTCAGACTCTGCACCTGAGATGGGGCAAGCCAAGATGTACAGAGAGACTGGGGAGTGAGACACTGAAAATCATGGCAAAGGACCTGGGGCTTCAGGTCAACAGAAAGCTGAACATAAGTCAGCAGTGCCCTGGTACCCAAGGAGGGCCCCCATGTCCTGGGAGGCATCAGGCACAGCATCACAGCCAGGCAAGGGAGGGGATTGTCCTGCTCTGCTCTGGGGCAGCCTCACCTCCAGTGCTGAGGGCAGGTCTGGGTGCCACAACATAAGAAAGATATAAAGCCATTAGAGTGTTCAAAGGAGAGTCAAGAAAAAGATGAAGGGTCTCAAGGGGAAACTGTACGAGGAACAGCTGAGGTCACCAGGCTTGTTCAGCCTGGGGAGCCTGAAAGGTGGCTGGCCTCCACACACACATTTCCCTGTGAGGGGAAGGGGAGGAGCAGGTGCCGATCTCTTCTCTGTGGTGACAGTGACAAGACCTGAGGGAATGCCCTGAATTTGTGTCAAGGGAGTTTAGGTTGGATATTAGGAAAAGGTTCTTCACCCAGTGGGTGGCTGGACACTGAAACAGGATTCCTAGTAAAGTGGTCATGTCACCAAGCCTGACAGGATTCAGGAATTGTATGGACAATGCCCTCAGGCAATGGTGTGACTCTTGGTCCTGTGCAGGGCCAGGAGCTGAACTCAATGACCCTTGTGGGTGCCTTCCAATCCAGGATATCCTATGACACTAGGATTTTACCAGATGAAGTGTTTTTATAATATACACACATACATATATATTATTTTCAAGATTTCTCCATGTGGTTCTTGCCTCACCTGCCCCCAATTACAGAATGCCACCACAACTCTAAACCCCTTCAAATAATCTAGCCAATATCTGAAATACGCACTGCATACCACTCCTATTGCTCTTATTCCTGCTTCTTTCAAGAAATGTTCACCCTGAAGAAGCTCTTATTACTTTCTGAAAAATCCCAAATACATGAAGAAATCTTATGATAGATCAAGACTCAATAAAATATGAGCTTAGGTAAAAAACATACACTTGATTTAGTTTTCCAGAGAGCACTGACTCTGCAGTGAGCTGGGTTTGCAGAATACACTGACAAGAAACTACTGAACTCCTAAAAGAGCAGAAAAAGGAGATTAAAAAATACCTGACTACTAGCAGTAGACAGTGTGGATGACTGAGGTCTACTGTCACTGACATGAGTGGTGGAGAGCAAGGTGCAGAGTTCTAGAAACACCACCACTTATAGCTCCTTCTTACAAGGGCTGTCAGATGAGGACTTCATACAGTAATGGTATCACTTGTATGATTTTTCAGTTACCTCCAAGACTTGAAAATACTCTGGAAATATTCTCAGAGACTGTCACTGGAAAATTTTTAAAGATGCTCTAAGTTATACATCTTACAGAAACTGAGGAACAGTTATATAGATCTTTTGAAAGTCTAGCCCAAGTTTTCACTTAAGAAGAAAAAAAAGGAAGCATTGTATTGATCCTGTAACTTTTATTATTAAAGTTGAAGAAGTTTTCAGGCCTCCGTCAACTATTAACAGAGATGGGGCAACTGCATCAGGTCATTGCCAGAGCATGTGTCACAATAAGCTTGTGACACAAACCCTGTGATCTTATTTCACACAATGCACTTGACTCCATCCTGCAATTTCTGCCCCCAGACTTTCCTATAGAATAATGGCAAGTCTACTTCTATGCAATATTCAGAACACTGTTGTAAGCTATCCCTTTTATTACCTAGGAAATAAGAGTAAGAAGAGTAAGGAAATAAGTAAGAAGAACCACAAAAAAGTAAATAAAATTTGTTATCCCCTCTCCTACAGCAAACACCTACTCCTCACACCTGTGAGATGCAGCAGATAACACCAAAAAGCTGCATAGAAGAAAAAATTTAAAAATTTTAAGAGAAGTGCAGGCCATGAACTCTTGAATATTTAGTATAAGCAAGCCTAGCCAATGCAGTGCATTTGAAATTTGGTATATTCTCTTTGAAGCAAGCTGTCATTTGGGTTTTTTTTCTTGAAAAAAAAAGATAAAGATACTCTTTGACACAGCCCAGTCACACTGTTTAGGGGCAGAGAGAGTGAAGAAAAGATCACAAAAAATATCCAAGGTACTCATGGATGTAGATAGTACAGTGTTTATTTCACTTTGTTCTCACCATCAGTTCTTTTCAATACACTAAATAGCACAGGGAACTATATAGCAATAGTTTCAACATGATGGGAATGTAAGCTCCCAAAAAGCACATGAAAAAAATATGTCAACAATCTTCATTATGAGAAGTTGTAACAAGAAAAGACAAAGTATGGCATGGAGAACACAGAAACCTCAACAGGAAAAAAACTGAAAGCCAGAATGCAGAGGAAAAACGTAGGGTTAGATGAAGAGGAAGGTGGCTGTAGCATGCCATAGGGCTAAGATAAAAACACTGTATCTCCTAGGTCAGTATTAACTGAATCAACTTGCACATTAATCAAGAATAACCTAGGAAATGAAAAGTAATCTTTGAAAAAAAAATTTAAGTGACTGAGTACAAAAGAGATGTCGCCTTGGTTTAACTAAGTATGCCTACTAGACACCAAAATGCTGTCAACAGGATGGCATGCATTTTGGTTTTAGCTGTACTGTGGCAGCATAGCTGAAGTTCAACATTCACGTGTTTCCTACCCACACAGAAGTCAGACAAGCAGGAATGCACAAGAGTGGAGCAATCAAACAGGCCTTTGGGAACATGCAAGTTTCAGCACACTTGTGCACATTATTTACTTACCTAAAACGTTGAGCCTGCTGAGCTAGAGGGGCGGGATACCTTCTGTTTGGAGAATGGTACAGCTGGGAAAGAATGGCCTGATTGGTTTTTTGGCTTGGATTGTTAGCAAACTTTACAGTGATGGGCTCTGTGGCACCTGGAGGTTTCTGGCCATTCAAGCCCTTGATAGCTTCTTCTGCTTCAATTCGCTTGTCAAACCGGATAAACCCCACGCCCCGTGACACCCCTGCACAAGGTGAAAAAAGCACACAGTAATGAATTCACAGACTCCAGAATACTGGATATTAACTTCCATTTGTGTGGCCAATTGCTATGTTGATGGTCGAATGCTGTGAACACATGATAACTTTGAGCTTAACAGAACTGATTTCTAGCATAAAGTAAGAATTTCCAACTGTAATTTTGATTTAAATTTTTAATTTAACTGATGTAAGACATTTGTGTAAAGAGCTTGTGAGTTTCAGGGAAAACAGTGGAAACAAATTTAGTGAGCCAAAGTAGAATTCAGAAACAAAGCAATTTTGTTGGATGGAGATGAACCCAAACCAGCTGCACTGTAACCTCTGGTCAGCTCATGCTATTCTACAGTACCTAAAGTGACAAAAATTCTGCAAATAGCTTAGTTCTCTGCTCTCTACCAGTAAAAAGATAGCTTTTTCTCTCCTGCAGTATCCCCTGAAGCTCTCTTTAGAGCAAATATGCTCAGAGGATGATGATGTGCACATACTATATTGCAATAATAGGAATTATGGCCATCTCTGAGTAAAATACCTGGTTTCAGTCAATCACCATACATCGCTAGGTGATACTTTTGAAGGAAACTTTTCTTGATATACAAAAGTCAAAGGGAACATGCAAAGGAATTCAAAAGTGTTTATGGAAGGTCTTAGGAACATCATGCATCAAAAATTCCAAGTGTCTTAGACATAAACATATTGAGCTACATTGGATACTTGAACCAATTAACATTAAAGCTACTAACTGCCAACATCAGTTAGATCAATGTTTTGTTGTAATATTTCAAGTGCCATTTAGAGCCCTTTTACATTTTGGTTCATGAATAACCAGATGAGTTAAACATTTGTCCTCAACTGAGAAAGACGTCAATGACAAGAAATGTATTCTCTTCATAAACAATGATTTAAGCCATCAAAAGTGACAATGAACAGGCATAAGAAAGCTTTTAAGAGGCAAATGTCACAGCTTCAACTCTGCATTTTTTATCTGTCAGTTTGTGTCACAACCTTATTATTCATACCATTCTGAGCCTACTTCTTCCAAATTACTAAAAAGAAGGAGGCAAGAAAGCTTAAGCCTTAACAACAATCTATATGCCAGAAAGGATGCTGCCAATAGCATGATTTATGAATATGAATAGAATTATAACACATATTAGAAGTTCAATTATATTTACTTACTGGTCCATTTGTTAAATGCCACCTATTTCTATGTATGAATATACAGGCACCTATTGTGAACAGCTATTTATTGCACACAGACTAGGAATCTGTCCCACAAATCTGCTATATCTACAAGTCAGTATTTGGCTTTAGCTTTCTTTTCCCGGCCTCTCTACACCCTCAACAACTCAACCTATTAAAATACTCTCTAAGTAGTATGTGTCAACATTGAGATTTCTTTTAACTTAGTGGAAGTCAAAGGAGTACACACAAGTTCCTCTAAAGGTCAGCCAAGACTCAAATAACGGCAAGTGCAAACTTTTCAAAATAAGACAATTAAAACCTTACAACCTTCTACAGCTGAAAGCTGTTTGCCACCCAAGAGGATATGCAGCTTTGAAAAAGTACAACTATTAAAAAAAAATAAAACCCAGCTTATTCAGGGAATAATTATGTGAGTAAATGACTTCATCTGTCTCACCCCTTAATGCTCTGGAAGGGGGAGAGCTTGGAGAGTTCTCCAAACCCGCTTCTTTGTATGTCATTCAATGCTCCTATCATGTACTCGGCTTTTCATTCAATTGCTTATTTCTGGCAGAAACCTCACAGCAGGTGATTCAGAAAACTGTAAAGATGCTCAAGATCAGCCATCTGAGACAGCAAAAAACCACAGACATTACTATCCTGAGTCTGAAGAGTAACCACAAAGTGCCACTGACAACCATTACCTGATTGACACACATACTGTAATTATGCCAATAACCTGCTACATCTTCCACTTTATGGCACGGGTAATCACAGAACTTACCTGCTCCTGAGGAAGTCAAAGTTTGTGTGTGTGCCCAAATTTAATGAGTTAGCCTTGAAAATAGCCTTAATAGCAACTGCCAGTCTGGGGCTTCTGTAATCCCAGCCTTAGAGAACCCGCTGTGCATTTCTGCATACAATTTTCTTTTTAGGAAAAAAAAGCTTAATAGCATTTTGTAAGGCACTGGAAAGCTATTTTCATACAGCAGCTTGAAAAGGAAGATTATGGAAGCTGTAAATTTATTACAAGTCATCAAACAAGCTTCAGACCTGCACCTTCAGGGTGGAAATGACTCAAGCTGGCTCAGTACACTCAGTACACATTTTTGTCCATGCACGTTTATGAACAATTACAGGCGAAAAAACCATTTTCTGGCCTACGTACACCTTTTATACATTATAGAGACAAGACTATTGTACTGAAAGGTGAAATATTTCAAACTGTGAGTCCATGAAAGGCCATGCAAAACTGCCTACTTACCAGTGACTTGGTCAACCAGAATACGAGAAGTAATAATACGTCCATATTGGGAAAAGAGCTGTTCCAGTTCTTTCTGGGTCATTGTTTTTGGAAGTCCACTAACATACAAATTTGCATCTCTGATAGAAGCTGAACTTGGGCGTGCATAAGAAACCTCAGAAAAAAAAAAAAAAACCATAAAAAAATCCTGGAAAACAAACACTTTAAAACCACCTAAAATAGGACAGTGTTATCTGTTCTGAGACATAAAACCATCTACAACAGCAGACAGAACAGTTACTTTGCAAAGCCAGTTCAGTGGGGTTTTTTTTGGTTTTGGGAGGTTTTTTTTGGGAGCAAGCTTCCAAAACATGGAAGGAATGCAACTTAGACTACACAGGAGCAGCTGACTACATGAATTCATATATAAAAAGTACTTCCAAATAAATGAGAGAAAGCTAGGTACATATTCCAGCAGGTCTTGGTGGAGAAAGCATATGACTAAAGCGACAAATTTAAGAAGTTCCATGCCCCATGTTCCATGAAGTCTCATTAAAAAGCAGTAAAACATACCAGGAATTAAGATTTCAGTGTGATATGTAGGCCAAAGGCACAGAAAGACAGTCTGAAGCACTTAGAGGTTTGCAAGTATTTTTAAAGTGCTGTGTCTTTTGTACATGTCGAGCTTGCTACCAAATGACTCATAATCATTTATGAGATGAACTCTGCTAGATCACTTTCACAGGCCTGAGAATGAATGGCAGAAGGAGGACTCCAACCTGTATTTTGCCTGCTCAGCACCTTCTCAATTTCTGCAACAGAGGCCTTAAAAACAAATGCCATTTATAGGAAATTCTTGGATCCTTTTGGACAGAAGTTTTTTACCTGCTGCCTTGACATGTCAGTCAAAATATTTTAAGGTGATTAAGTAGATTCTTTGACCTTTAGACACATGCTACAAAACAGCACTTCCACTACTTCCTAATGAAGTTTGTACAAGTGGTGTTACTACAAGAATGATTAGGACAGAACATCTGTGTTTCTCCAACAGGAGAAGTTCTCCAACACTTCATCTAGGCTTTTCACCTATGTCAAACATAAAAGTAAAAAGGATCCTCAAGAAGTAGTCAGATTATTCTCCTTTCCTTCCCTCACCCTTCATGTACTGTTAGTCAATACTGGGCAACTGGAACTTGATTCTGTCATTCCTTTTGACTAATTCTTTGACATTTATTTTCAAATCCTTCCTGTCTCATTTCTGCACAGACCAGCAGACTCTTAAGACTGCTATGGAAGCAAAACAGAAGACAGCACGCTGGAGATGAAATAAGCAGCACCCTGAGCACTGCTGCGATCCTTCAAGTTCCACCCAGAGGCTTTGTGCAAGGTACCTTTGTGCTGGTTGAGGAGGACTGACCTCGAAAACTTGCAGCTATCCAGCATGGAACCTTGCAAGTCACACTGCCTTGTTCTTTCCACATGAGAGCCACACAAAAGCTAAAGACCTATGATCAAAGTTACAGGAAAACAGAGTAAAGTGTGCCAGCATTCAGCCAATGAAGGAACAAAGACAGTGACAGCTACCCTTTTGGAATGAATAAACTTGCTTTACTTGCCCATTTAGCCCTGAGCTTCTTTAAGAAATAAACTTCCATGCCTCCCTTGGCAGGATTTTAAGGAGACTCAAGGCCAAGGAATGGAGACAGACTGCCTGGGGAACAGGACTAGTCCTAGTAAAATAATGAATTACCAAACCCATGCAGACACTGTCTTTCAAGGGGAAACTCACACTGCCGGACACATGCTGCCACATATAAAAATATAAATTTACAAAGAATCTATCAGAAAAGAAGAAACCTGCACAAAATATTTGCTAATTTACTGCAAGTTTATCTTATGCTACAGAACTGGTACCTGTCAAGATACAAAGCAGCTTTTGCAAAACTCTTTCATTTTCCTCTGGTAAGACAGTATGAGCTCTTGCATTATGACAGCTGGTCCAGTATAACCCATGCCCTCTCTGGTTAAAACAGTTCAAACTGTTTAACATAGCAGTCAAAGCCTACACTGAGTGCAGGTAAATGGAAGCAATACTCTAACCAGTATACCCTACTCCTACATATCCAGCTTCACTGTTATTACCTTCAAGTGACTACTCCAACACACTGAATTTGGGCACACTAGTCACAGTAATAACAAAGATTAAACCAAAATCTGTGGTTCACCACCAATATCTGTACACTATATTTAATCATCTTGCTAAGCCCCAGAAGTACTGGTCAGGCAAAAAATCTGAAAGAAACATGTAACTTCAGAAATACAATGCAATTTAAGTCAGCAGGACTAGTGAAAACCAAGGACACTACAAAATATTACTGGTATAAAATTCCTATTAAAAGAACCTTGCCTAGAGTATAGCCCTCTTCATTTTTGACATCAAAGCCCAGTCATTTCACTTGTGATACACACTTAAAGCACAGACTCTCCAGACTAATCTCCCTACCTATATCCTGTCAGTTTGCTCATTCAGTAATTGCTTGCTGATAGCTCTGTATTTAGTCTCTTTAAACAACTTTTATATGGACCGAATTAAAAACTGTGCCAAGATTTTCATTCCACATCTAATTCAATTGGTGAACATTTCAATTACATAATGTCAAAACCTCTGAACACAAGGCAAGTTAAGAAACAGCCTGAAAGCCTCCAGTTTTAAATATTGAATGATGACACACACTTTACAATATTGAACAGCACTACTCTGGAGATACCAATTTAAAAACAGTTTTACAGAAATTTTCCACTGCAGTTAATAGGAAAGACACTTGTTTCTAGAACTGCAAATATTACATCACTAAATCTAAGTATTTTCACTGCTTTAATACTTAATTTCCTAACAACAGGATGAACTGATTCACAATTTTCAAGTGAAAATTGTGAAAGCAGGTTAAACAAAGAAGTTATAAAAAAATTATATAGTTTTCTTATAATCTGCTACTACCTATTGACACCTCAGTACCATGCTTCAAGCTCTTTTATCTTATTATTAGTAGAGTAGTAGTATTATTAGTACAAACTATTTGTATTCTCTCAAAAACTAATGAATTTAATATGATTTTTCCTAAACACCTCTACTTAATGTAGTCTTCTAAATCTTTAAATCTGAAATCTCTAAATGCTAAAATCAGTATTTCAGTAAATATTCACATTCACTAGCTCAAGTGCAATCTTTCTGCTTAAAACACAACTTGTCCTTAAGAGTAGTGTCCAGTTCTTTTAGAATACATGTTTCTGTGGGGAAAAAACCCCCAACAAAAAACTACCATCCAGTATGTCCATATGAAAATGAGTTAAAAACCTACCTCCAAAGCAGACAGATTTATATTGAGAAAGGGGGTACATTAGGAACAGGTATGCATCCTCAGCAAGCACAGTAAAAACAAGGACATACTGCTCTTTCTTTCAGCAATGTTCTCATTGTGCCAGGCAAGTGTTCTCAACTTGCACTTAAATTTGTATGCAATACCACGATTCAAGAACTCTTCTTAATTGGATTTCTAGTAAGAAGATGTGGCAGCATACCACAAAGATGAGGTCTCAGCTCTCACTAGTCAGTGACAGGCTGTTGCCCGAAACAGGAGAGTACATTGCTGTATATTCATCAAGTTCACCTCCTGTCTCCCCTCAAATAAGGATTGTTCCACTCCAAACAAAATTCCAAGGCCACTTTTCCTAATACACAAGACTACGTTACTGAACATGCACTTGCTGAGTTCATGGTGGAAGCCTGCAGTCACACACTTCTGTGGACAGCACAAACTGGAAACCCAGACTGCCCTTGTAAAGGCAACTTACATCCGCCTCTGTGGAACTAAAAGACCTCAACACAGCTCATTTACAGGCGTAGATTAAGCTGATAAACACAACTATATCTCATAAAGGTCCTGATTTTACAGCCTGCTGTACAATAAGGAATGCATTGAAAAAAAAGACACTGGAGCAACAGTCTTTTAGCATTATCATCCGAGTTTCCCTGTTTTAGTTCACCCCTCAAAGTGTTCCAGCTCTGACAGCTACAACCCACGCCAGAGTCACAGGCCTGAGGTGGGTCATGGGATCCACATCTGTTGCCACTTAGATGAGGCCATGAATGGACCAACCTGACAAATTTAGACTAAAGACCAGTCTTTATATATTTGAGGGAACTAGCATGAGAAGTCTTCCTCAGGATATATAACCAATTAAGGACAGGACACTGCTCAAAGAGGAAGCCCTCATGAAATGCTGCTGTACGCAGCACAGAGGAAGACCAGAAAACAGGCTTTCAGAAGATTCGGTCTAAAGTGACTTACACCCAAAAATCCACTTAGTTGGAAGCAAATGTATGTATGTATGTGCTAAGAACAGCAACCAGCTGAAAATCCTGCCACTGATGGAAACAGAAGCAGAAGTTTTCCCAGAAGTATCAAGATACTGCAGCAGTTTTAAATCAGAGTCATAAGCATCTGATAAAAGAAAAACAAGTATCAAGTTCACTGCTATAAAATATGATATGGGAATTATGCACTACATTCACAGAATAGCGATTCTGTTTTGCCCTTAGAAGGACTAGTACAGAAGAGCACTTTAAAACTTGCAGTCTGCAACTATCACTATCTTGCTAAAAATAGGAAATACTCAACTTAGAATTTAGGTACAAATAAAATATATGAACTGAAAAGAGATCAATTCTCCAAACATTTCCTATTTATCATATTCTTAAGAGTCTCAAAAGACCTTTCCTCTACTTCACATTTGTAGTTCTGATCCCTACTCATGCCCAAACAATAAGAGCACAGGAATTTCAGATGCACTAGGAATAAAAAAAAGCAGTTACCTTTCAAGGAGAACAGGAGTACAGAGTATAATATTAAGCCCTCCACATGAATAATATAAACAGGAATAGAATCTTAAACACAAGACCTCAATTATTCTCCTGAAGGAAATGACTAAACCTCAGGTTATACCTAAGAAGCTTCTACTACTGACAGAGACTCTGACAAACACAACACTTGGGCATCTCTTGCACTATTCCACAGACACATCTAGAAATGCACAAAACACATCCATTCAACTTACAGTTCACTGAAATATCTTATAACCCCTCTGGAAAAACTATTAGTGCATGAATGACAGATA